ATAAAAATAATAATAATAATAATAATAATAAATTATAATGATTATCATTATTATTATAATAGTAATAAATAAAGAGGTATATGTAATGATAATATAAACAACAAGAATAATTACAATGATGATAATAAACAGGATCTTCAAATGTTATGTCACAACTGGAAAGTGGGCCGTTTTACGTCTTATATTATAACGCAGGGGGGGGGGGTGCGTGCAACATTCTAAAACATTCTATTTACGATATTAAGTTCAGCATAGTTAAGGTCAAATCTCTCTAAAATTATGTTAAAAGGGGGCATTAATCAAGAATGCTTCTTTTGACTTCTTCTTGGCCTCGCTAACCTCCTGCTCGTCCACTTATAAAACTGAGATAACTTTAAAAGGACAACAAACTTTTGATTTCCTTTATTAAAGCCCCTTTTCAGATAAGCTGGTTGTCGCTTCGATCAAATGTGTGCTACAGATGAAGGTTGTAAAGTCGAAGTAGGCTTCCGTGGGCGTCATCATCAGTAAAATATTTCCGATTTGGTCAAGCAGGTGCATTTGTTGGAGTCTTCGCCCTTTTATCGGCAGAATAAAAATTGATGATTTTTTACAGAGCTCATCGATGGTTTCCGGTAGCCTACATGGGTCATCTCTCAGGAAGGCTATGTAAGAGTGGCCAAAAACTTTGTTTAACTTAAGTGAAATATCAAAGACACCTTCAACTCGGATTTCATGTCGATGTTCCATCCATTCCTACGCGTCGAATCCTCACATCTTTTCTTGAGATGATGAGTTGAACCTTTATTTGTAACATTGTTGTTTTGGCTTTTTTTTTCAGGGGGGGGGGGGCGATTTTTAAAAATGATTTTAGAAAATAAATGAGTTGTTTCATGTGAGCCTCGCACCCTTGTCATATAGGAAATTGATAACCACACCTATGAATACTATGATTGATAACAAAATGGGAAGATTACGTTCTGTTACAATCGAAGTTGAAAACAGCAATAGCTCAAAGTACAGGAGATGCTTATTGTCGTAATTTGAGTGCTCGTATCAAACATTAATAGTAATGATAAGATGTTGATGTGAGTTGGTTTTTTTATCTCACCATCTAAATATTTCAGACCCAGTGGCGTGGAGATTCCGTCACACTCTCCTTAGTTTTGTTTTGCCTTTGACTATTTTTTTTTCCTTTTTACATTCTTTTTACTCGCACCCTTTACTTCATGTTTGTGCTCTGAGTGTGTCCATAAAAATTAATGTCTTTACGAGTTTGGCAGTACATAGATCTCTAGGAGACTGGGTGAAAGAGATGCGAGGGGGAGGGGGGGGAGAGAAGGGGGGATGAGTCAGTGGAGGGAGAGAGGGAGAAAGAGAGAGAGTGGGGGGGGTGAATTTGTAACTCTGGTTAGAAGTAGGTGGGCCTGAGTATTGTACCTATGTGCGTGTGTGTTTGTGTATACCATTTGCAGTGTAAGTGTGTGTGTGGAAGGGGGGATGAAAGTGTGTGTGTGTGTGTGTGTGTGTGTGTGTGTGTGTGTGTGTGTGTGTGTGTGTGTGTGTGTGTGTGTGTGCGTACTAGAACGTATGCAAGGGTACGTGTATGTGTGTGAATGTGTGTGTGTGTGTGTGTGTGTGTGTGTGTCTGTGTGTGTGTGTGTGTGTGTGTGTGTGTGTGTGTGTGTGTGTGTTCAAATGATACATGTCTTTTGTATTTTGGGTTACAACAAATATACAGTTAGCTTAATCCCATAGAAAATAAATAATAACTTACATCATAATATATAAGCCTGCTCCTTCTGACCAGTGACATTGTTTATTTTAAAATCATTGCACATGTGCCTGTATTGTGTAGACAGGGGTAGTACATTTTGTACATACCTATCAATACGGTAATGTTTTTTCTATGACTTTTTTTTTTTTATTGAAAGTCCAATCCAACAAAACCGGGGGTGCTTATCTGGTTGTTAATCCTTGTGATCTCGAAACAGCAGATACAGCAGCCTTCCTTCAAATAGGGCATTAGTTACCAAACTGACATAGTGAACATACTGGAAAAAAGGCATGAGCGTTATGCCGACTGAAAACCTCTTTCAACAATGACAGTTATCTACGAGTACGTGGCAGCAATTTCGAATTTAACAAAGTTTGTTCGGTCCAAAGTGCATGGAGGGAGGGTTATGAAGACTTTCTTCATGTTTAAGTTTTTAATTTTTAATTTTGTTTTTGTCTGGGAAGGGGTGGTTGGTGGGGGGTTTTCTTTTCTGTTTTTTAAAATTATTTATTTTGTTTTTGATTGTTTAAAAAATTGCTTTTGTTCGTTTGGTGTTTTTTTTTGGGGGGGGGGGGGCGGGGGGGTGGTGGGTTTTGGTTGTTGTTGTTTTAGGGGTTTTTTGTTTTTTTGTTTTTTTATGTTTGCTGTTTGGCTTTTTGTTTAGCGGAAATTTTCCCTGGTGCAGTTATCATGCCGAGGAAACATAATATTATGGTACTTAAATTTTATAATGTAACTGTGCTCAAACTATGTTCCAGAAACAACGCCCACACACACGAACCCGGAACTTCCAGAAAAAAAAAACATCTTTATCAGCAACGATGGAGATATCTAGACGATTATGCGTGGACTGTTGAGGACCAATAGGCTTTCTTAGATCTAGGAAAGTTTTGCTGCGGACCCATACTTCTACTTTGGCGATATACGAGAGATACTGTTCGTCTTAATTGTGCCTCTCAAGATAATCAATCTCAAAGTGGAAGTCGTGTACCCTTTTATTTTATGGGTCGAAAATAAGAACTTATTCACGAAAAATTTAATCGGTTTAATTTATTCACCTATAAGTGACGGCTGTTGTGCGACATGTTTTCTGCTATAGATTAACCTGCAGATGCCCGCTTTGAGAAGTGCCTTTTGTTTATTTAGAAACCGTCCGAAGTTAACTCGTGTTACCAGATTTTGGATGCGTGCAACCGGCGCAGTGAATAATTTTACAGGAATGCAGTGGCAATTCTTGCCCGCCACCAGGCGGGTGATATGCAAAAATTCGATCCTGGACATGAATGTTTTGCTTTAAATCTGATACAAAAATGCTAATAAT